CACAGGTGTAACTTCAGAATGGCTGAATTCCATTTAGCTGTTTAGGTCACAGGGTCCTTGTATTGTGCAAGCTGACACACAGACACACTGGTGTGGCTTACTGCAAAAGAACAGACCCATCATGAATATCATTAAATCCATGTGTGCTTTTCCTACAATGACGAGTCAAAATGTCTGCTGTGAAAAAGATCCATTCAGTAAATATTTTGTCATAAACTTGCTTATTTTATTTTCCTTAAACCTACTGCTGTTATCTGTTCCAAATTAAAGCTGTAGCCATACAAATACATCACCTGTGTAATTTACATTTAGGCCTACCTTTTTTCCATACTATGTGTATCGGCTTCATTTTGAATAAACGGGACAAACATTCACAAAATATTGATGTCACAGAGGCATAGAACAAACAAGCAATAACTTATTATACTACTTGTGTTTTTTATTTAACATATCCAATCAGCAAACAGCAGCACCACATACAACACACAAGAGGTTACATCTTTACAGTATTTATTATTATAATATATACAGAGTATTTTTTGAATATTTTTTTATTTTGTCAGTGTCATGAAAGACTTACAGTGAGACAGTGACTGTAAAATTGGACATGTCTTATGATCTCTTTGCTGAATACTCTATTGAAACATGTCCGTAGCTGTAAAACGTCTTATCTGTAATGCTTCTAAGCAACTTTACTGATGGACTTTATTCACATATTCAATCATAAAATGATTTCAAAAGACAATCTTATCTTTCCATCTATGTGTAGCGGCCGGGCCTTAGGGGGGAAATGAAAGGGAACCAACAACGCCACCTGGGGAATTACACCCTGGGAAATATAAGCTTAACGACCCAAATATATGGTGTAGAATTTGTTAAGGGCACACAGATGCGTGTTTTGTAAAAATGAACCGAAAATGTATTAAAGGAATCTATGAAAATCATCAAAACAACAGCCAAAACATGCAGAACAAAGGAAAAACAGTCAAAACATGCAAAGCAGAGGAAAAACTGCCAGAACATGCAAAGCAGAGGAAAAACAGGCAAAATGGAGGCAGCAAAACAGCAGCAGGTGAACCACCTCACATATGGGGTAAGTAGTCAGACGGCAACAAGAGGAGAAAAATGTCTGAAACCCACCATGAGCCACCACAGAGTACCAGGGGCCAAAAGAAAGGAGTGAGGCCAGAACCACGGGTGCGTTTTATTTGCTGGCACTGATTGAGGGGATGAGCCATCTGAGGGCTGCGTTCACAACCCTACACTTCCTTCTCTGGGGAGCGTTCCCCACTATGTGTTCACTTTATACACAAAACCAGTATGCTAAGTATGTCAGCGCTGTGGAGGAAAGTAATCCAATGATGAATCAGATTAACGATTAAAACTTAACTGCACTTTTATGAATACACTGACAAAGTGAAATTGTGAAAACAAAACCATTCTTAATAAATAAAAGACTTATATCACACTGCTCAATTAAGGCCCAAGTCACACAGAGCAGAACACATTACAGCAACAATGCAATTATAGAACAAATAGGACTATATACACCACACACGGTTCAATATCCATTTAGGTTGCACAACAGTTAATCAACCTCTATCTAATTTGGGAAAGCCCTCCCTCTTTGCTGATCTACACAGCTGCTGTCTCCTGGGGAAAATCCACTGTAACTCTTTGTCTACTTGATGACACAAACTCAGCTGTAGATCCAAAATAATAAACACCAAGTCCAGCATAGAGTGGCTGACTGAACTTGGTCTTGACTTTGTAGAGGAGAGTGAAAGTCTCAGAGATGCGGTAGAAGGACAGAATCCCTGCCTTGTGATCCAGGAACACCCCGACTCTGGAGGACTTGGGGACGTTTGGAATAATTGTTTTTTCACCGTTATGTTTGTAATCATAAATTGTATGAGTATTTTTGTTCACACACATCAATGCCCAAGACTTGTCATTCTCACCAAATATACTTGCATCTCCTGTTCTGGCAATATCCCTGTATGCAACTGCTACTGAAACTCCTAAGCCGCTCCACTCCACTTCCCAGTAATGACGTCCAGTCAGACGTCTTTTACACACAGCCTGAGACCTGTCCATGAATCTGTTTGCGTGATTAGGATACGACTGTATATCTTTCATACACGTTACTTTTCTGTTTTCTTGAGACAATAACATCTGCATGCTCGCCGTGTTTTGATCCAGTTGGAAATTGCTCACGTGATCTGCATATTGTGAGAATTCAGCTCTCGTCTTGGGGTCCTGTGGCAGTAAAACATCCACTTCACTCACTGTCATTGAGATCTTGTTCCATTCCTTTCTACAACTTTCCTGTAGTTTTTCTCTGGCCGCTGACACAGACGCAGTCACATCCTTAAAGTATTGCAAAGAGCGTGTGTTGCAAGAGGGTAAGGCGGTAGAATTAGGGAGACATGGCAGCGAGGCGTGTTTGAGCAGAAACTGGGTTTGATCCTCCGTGTGTGACAGCTGCTTCAGCTCAGTGTCCCTCCTCCTCAGATCAGTGATCTCCTGCTGCAGCTTCTCCTGAAGCTCTTTGGCCCGACTCACTTTAATTTGCTGCTTGAATTTGATCTTACGCTTCACATCAGAGTTTCTTTTCTCGATGAGATTAATCAGCTCAGTAGACATCTTCTCACTGTCCTCCGCTGCTGCATAAGCAGAGCGATTGATGGCCTTCATCTCCTGCTGAAGCTCCTTCACAACCTTCTCTCGGCTTTGGATTCTCTGCTGGATTTCTTGTCGACTTGTTCTGAGCTCTCCCTGCCTCTTGGCCATTTCTGTTGAGGCTCTCACTGTGTTGTGGCCTTTGTGTTCATTCATTGAGCAGTCAACACAGATACATCGCTTATCAGTGTGGCAGAAAATGCTCTTCACCTCGTCATGTTCGGTACAGATGTTTTCCTGGAGCTTTGCAGCTTCGACCAGCCTGTGTTTCTTTGATGGAACTTCAAAGTGTTGTTGGATGTGCTCCTTACAGTAAGAGACCCGACACTGCAGACAAGACTTGAGAGCTTTCCGTTTTCTCACAGTGCAGACATCACATCCCACATCTTCAGGTCCAGCGTAGCAGTGATCAGCCGGAGCAACTTGGTGTCCCGTCTTCTTCTGTCCCTTCATTGAATCTGCAAACATGCTGTTTTCCGCCCGCGCAGGCCTCAGTGTAAAGGTCTGTCTACACTGAGGACAGCTGTGGACTTCTTTCCTCTGATCCCTCTTATCCCAGTGGCTTTTAATACAGCTCATGCAGTAGTTGTGCCCACAGGGAATAGTCACTGGATCCTTCAGTAGATCCAGACAGAGGGAACAGCAGAAATTTCTCCGGTCAAGCTGATGCTGTGCTCTTTTCCCTCTCAGTGATAGTGAGCTTGTGAATATTAATATGCCAAGAGGGAAGAGGGAGTGGTTTCAAGTTTTGCTTCATTCCAGAAAGAGGAGGGGTTAGGAACAACTGGTGTGTGTTCTTCCCCTTCATCCCTCATA